AACCGTTCTTCTTGCATTGATTCCTCTGGTTTAAAGAGGTTTATCTTCAACCATACGACAGAACACGTTAACCATCACGAATTTAATAAGTGTCGGTCTAAATAAGAATTAATTGTTCCACTCAAGACACATTGAAGCAGATGAGACCTCTGTTCTTGGGTCAGAACATTGTACTAATGGTTGCAACGTCGATCGATACGAAATCGGGATTGTTCCTAGTTAAATATGGTACAGGGAAGAGTACCAAGTTTGGTCTTGGTAATGGTGAATACGATAGACAGGAAAATCGATAGGCAAAGAAGATTGTTTTTCAAATTGTTTCGAACCGTAGAACTATTAATAAAATTACGATATAATATAGTTAATATAGTTAATACCTATCATAATTCTTGGAACACCTAAAAATTCTATGAACTGGTTAATATTCATTTTTAAATCATGGATATTAAATAAAATTTCTGAATATAAATACTGTGCACACGAACCTTGTGCCTAGTATGAGAAATTATAATTAGCACTACTAATTAGAATTAGTAATTACAGGTAGGAGATGTAGAGAAAGTAACAGATAGGATTTAATAATAGTGAAGTTAAAAACGAAAAAATAAATTGTGACTGAATATGAAAATGTAAAACTCGAAAAGTAGATTATGAATTAATTAAGAATTAATTAAAAGTCTCAATTCTACTGAAACTGTCCCAGATAATAAAAAATGATATAATTATGAATAAAGCGAATTACACTGTAGGTTTAATATAAAATGTTATTTTTGTGATACTTCAATGATTTTTTTAAACTGTTTTACACCGTATTGGCATGTGACTTTAGTAAATTTTTCATTACCAGTAATGGAAAATTTTAATTAGTATAAATAATTGGATCGCCAATTAACATAACATAGGAGATGTTACTAATTAAATATGTCACAGATTTTAACGATGCCATAATTAAACTTAATTATAAAAATTATAAAAATACTTATTACTGCAAGTTCGTCGAGTGATAGAAATGAATAACACAATTATTGATAATATGAATATGTTGCATAACACAAACACTGTATGATACAAACACTATCATAATTTTTTGAAAATTTTATAAATTAATTTATATAGTATTGAAATTCCGAGCATGAATATTGAACACGAATATTGTATTGGAATGTCGACTAATTGATTTCATCTAATATTTGTACCAAATCAATATTGGAATAATGAGGTGAAAGATTATTGGATAGAATCAAGATACAAGGATGACATTGTACATTTAATTGTACATCTGATATGAAGAAATACCAACAAATAAAAGATTTAATGAACCATGCACGATTAATGATGTATACCTACTTAAAAAGAAATGATAATAATCAATCTCGACGAATAAGGATCAAACTCGAAGTATATTCGAGTGGAACCTAATGAAATGACACAGAAATCGATATTCAAGAGTAAATTGTCTCAAATATTTATTCACTTTAATCCTCGAAAAACATAAAACCAACAAGTACAAGTGAAATAACATTATAATTGCCAAAGAATGAAAACAGAGAAGACCTTTATCAAAATAGAAAGTACACGAGTAGATATATAGAAACTGCAAATTAACAATATAAAACTTAACACAATGTTAAAATTATAATATAAATAACAAATATAAAGGAACAGAATACCTTTGGATAAATTACTACTATAACGTAGTTATAATGATAACGCTAATATCAAATTTCAATAACACTAATAATAATAATTGAACAATAATTTAATGTCATTAATAATTCATAATTTAATATTAATAATTCAAATGACGAGGTAAAATATGTATGTCATTCAAACTGCTAACTACTCTTGGCTAATTTGATAGTACAAAATAAATAATTTTTAATGATTTCATGTTCTTAATGGGATAACAGTATTGGAATGTTGTTCGATCTCATTAACCAACGACAGATACCAGAACAACGAATACACTTCGCCAGCAAAAAGTGAAGCGAAACCTATGCACAATCGAATCGGTTTCGTTTGAAATCCGGAACACGCAACAATGTTTGACTTGTACACAGACTAGCCTTTGATTTATCTTTCAAACATTCTAATCGACCACGTTGATGCTTCATACTACTATTTATCTTTTTCCTTCCTTCTCTCCTTTTCTCTTTTAATTTAGACGTGAATCTTGGTATTATTAAACAAGAAATTTGCTCCATTCCTCATATTCACTTTAATACCTGTTTTTCTTAACTTTTGATATTCTTCAGGTTCTCGAATTTTTTCAATTATACGATTTAAGGCTGATACGATTTTCCAATAAGAGGAAGCTTAATGTTGTTTTTGGATCGAGGTATTTTCGTGCAACATTTCATCGAACATGAACATGATTTCTCACAAAGAACAAAACCACAGGATTGTTCCACGATAAAACTCACTGTATCGGTAAAACTAATTATCGACAAGGACGATACGGTAAGCAGTTTACAGATTCCAAAAGTATTATTCCGAAAGTAAACTGTTTCTTTCGACTTTTGCCAAAAATCATTTAAGATAAATTGATTCATACGCTTGTATAAATATCTCGAATATCTGAGATAAATTATAAAATTGTGATTATGTATTTTTATGAAACTGTATTCGTTTCGGAAAGATGAATAATTTGAAAAAATTACACGTAACGATATTCTCTAAATCAATTTTGTTAAATAAGAATTAATGAATTGAGGTATAAGTTTAAAATAAGAATGTGAAATATGAATAAAAATTAAACTTAAAGAATTATCGTAAATATTAAAGAGGTATTGCAATATTTGTTTATGTTAATTCTGTTCTCTGTATTAATTAATCTTTGCCATTTATTAAGTTATTTGTATAATTTTATTTTAATTTCGTGTTTACAATGAAAATTTCCTAAAATTCACGATTTAATTTTTCTGTGGAAATATAATAAAACCTGATACGGAATAATACTAAATTAAATTATTCAAAATTAAAACTAGCTGCGAACTATAAATTGCTAAAAGTAATTTGTAAAATATCAACTAAATTTCAAGTGAAAATGACATTTAAAGCTGCATTCGAAACCTCAAAAGTGCATTTTAAAATCTGTTCAATGTGCTGTTGGTTACCGCATTACGATCAATTTACACTTCGTTCAATAATTACATAACATGAAAGTCTGTTGCATTATATACGGAATATTAATAATCACCTACGAACAATGCGAATATTTTCACCAAAATCATACATTGCATCCTTCAATATCGCAATTTACAACATTTATTATTCTAAATACGAATTATAATATTATGAAATATTAAAACTAACTCTCTCTCAGTCATACGAAAAAGCTGCATAATTCGTCGAATCAAATTCGATTTAAATACCTAAAAATTCTATTAAAGACCTAAACTTTAAATTGAAACAAAATTAATTACACATCAAAACATCTCATTAAATATTCTTCTAAATATAATACAAAAATGAATATCTCTAGCTAATCTATCAACATCTGAAATACCTAATGATACAAGAACAACCTCGCGATTTTTCTCGTATGATCAATTAAAATATTCAAAAATTCAACCAAAAGAACTAAAATTTAAGGTAGAACAATGCTAATTATCCGAACTTCTAATCCTTTATATTAAAACAAAGAACCTTCACGATCCATTTAACACAGTCAATGAAAGTGTCGAAAAATTTAATTCAAGGCACAACTAGTTAAATTGTCGAATATTCCAAGAACTTATATTAATATATTCAAAACAGAACCTTCACGATTCATCTAACAGGATTAATTAAAACACCCAAGAATGCGACAACAAGCCTAAACCCCTAACCAATGCGAATCTCCTAATCATCCAAATCTCCAAATTTCAATCCCCCTATCCCAAGAACAGTGCATCTCCTCGACATTGTTGCCGAATATGACCAAGTATGCCCCGTAATGATTCGTCAAATGGTGAAATGCAATTGAAATCGCGGCATGACCTAGTAAAAGTCGACGAGATATGTACGACTACAAAGGGGAAACCGTGATTCCCCGGTGACGAAGTAAGCTTGAAAATCTGGCCTCGAAAAACTCGGCGAATCTCAGTCAGTTAACCGTGCGTAGGCGTGGATAACGCGGCTCGCATCTCGTGGCATAGCGTAATTACGTTACGGAAGACGTTGAACACCGGTTCGAGGATCCATCGAGACCGTGGCGGACCTTGGCCAGACACGATTGCGAATTAAGCGCGATTCCTGCT